TCTGAGGGCCTGTCTCAGGTGTTAGTACTGAGTAGGTGGAGGCACAGAGGTGCAATCCTGGGCTGCAGGCTGTGGCATGCCAGAGGTCTGACAGATTGGTGATTTTAAGCTCGCCTGTAAAGTCACTATCTGTAACCCTGGGGGCCACGTGAAGTCCCCTAAGTGTGGAGCTAGCTCTTCCCAATATTAAGCCAAACATCTGAGAAGGCAAAGGGCCATGGACTCCTGTAGCTAGGATCTGAGGGCCTGTCTCAGGTGTTAGTACTGAGTAGGTGGAGGCACAGAGGTCCAATCCTGCACTGCCTGCTGTGGCATGCCAGAGGTCTGTAACAGGTTAGCGGGCATAGGATGGGGGTTGGGGGTTGCTATAGGGGGAATCTGAGCAGCTGGGGAGACAAACCGAATAGCCCCTGGGCCTGTCCTCTGAGTAGGGGCCTGGGGCCGGCCCCACTGGAATTTTCCCGACTGTTTAGGGGGTAAAGGTTGTCCTTGTATATTTATTTTAGACTTGCATTCAGAGGCCCAGTGTTTGCCTCTGAAGCAGTGCGGGCGCAAAGAGGAGGGAGGAAGGTGCTCAGAAGCAGGCATGCGAGGAGCAGTACACTCTCTGAAAAAATGGCCAGGTTTGTTACCATTAAAACAAGTTTTTGGAGACTGGCCAATACCTACGCCTCTGAGGGCAGCTCTTATAGCGATCCCCATAGCATGAGAGACAGAATTAATACCAGCGCAGAGCTTAATGTAGTCCGAAAGGGAGCCGCGCTTGTGAGGGCGCAAAGCCTCTTGACAGGCAGGGTTGGCGTTTTTAAAGGCCAGATGTTTAATAAAAGGACTCTTGGCCTCACCATCTCCAAAAAGCCTTTCAGCTGTTTCATTTAATCGGGCAATAAAGTCACTGTATGGTTCATCTGGTCCTTGCCTGATCTTTGTCAAAGAGGTAGTAGCAGATCCCTTAGGGGGTAGGCGCTTCCACGCTCCAAGGCCGGCCTGTTGGACCTGAGTTAATAAGCCCAGAGGAAAGCAGGCTTGGACCTCATTAGTGTTATAAGGGCTGTCTCCCAAAAGTTTTTTAAAGGACCAGATTTTTGAAGATAATTTTTTCTCATTACGGCGGGCCAATTCCCTGCAATTTTCCATATACTCAGTTCTCCACTGAACATAGCCGCCGCCCGTGAGCGCGCCCAGCGCCAGCCTATTCCAATTGTTTGGGGTAAGCCACTTATCAGTATAACTCTCTAAGAGTGTTAGAGTAAAGGGAGCAGGGGGGCCATAATTGGTGACCGCGGACTTTAACTTCTCTAGGTATTTTTAAATTTAGACTTCTATATTTTTGGAGAGGATTATGACTGTCACCAACATCCCTATCATAACCATCACCCTCTGAGGCAGAGTCTCCATCCTCTTGGGGAGGCAGACAGGAGGAGTCTACACCTTCCTGGTCCTCCTTCCCTTCAGATTCTTGCCCCCTTTCCTGAGTTTTCCTCTGACTACGAGTGACAGGAAAGGCCAAGACAGGTTTAGTACGAGAGGTTTCTTTTTTAGCAGGGACCAACCTTTCCTGCAAGGGGAAAGTAAATGAAGTGAGTTCTTTTGTAACTTTTTGTAACTCTCTCATTAAGTGGAGTTGCTCTTTTCCTTCTGCTAGTGTCCGGTCGAGGTTTGAAAGTTTAGTAAGGGCCTCCCTTTGGGCGTTTTGTAGCAGAAGATCATTGGGGAGGAGTTCCTCTGTTAAAGCAGGAGCGCATATAGCAGAGGAATATGAAGGAGGAAAAAATGGCGGGGGCTGGGCAAGCAGGGCAGAAGCTCCTACCGGAGACTGGTCAGAATTATGGTATTTCGTTGTCTCATTTTTAAGGTGGCCTCCTCCTCAGGTGTTAGTTGAAAATCTTTTAAGGAGGGGTAGATCTGCTTAAATGGGGCTGTTTTTAAATCTGAAATTTCTGTCTCTTTTTTGCAGAGGTTACTTCGGGCAGTGACTAGTTTTGGGGGGGTCCTCTGAGGTAGGGGCCTCCTGTGAGTCCCCATTGTCCTCGAGATCAATTATAACGGAGATGGAGGGTGGGAGTGTTCTTTAAGAACTTTTTCTCCTTCTTTTAAAAGACTCTTTAAGTCAGGGGAGTGATTATAAACCTTGAGAATATCATTAATCAAATTCCAGTATGAAAAGGCAGAGACTGGGACCTTTTCAGGCCCAAAGGTATTATAGTGATCTTGGAGGCAGTTACCAACGCACATCCAGCGTTTCTCATCTATAGTTCCTTCTTGGGGGAGCCAAGGGCAAAGTTCCCCAATATATTCAAGAAATCTTTTTAAATCTTTCTTTTTAACCCTACTTCCCCGTGTCTTGAGAGAATCTTTAAGACCTTTTATGAATAAATCTTCCTTACTGAATTCTTGTCCCATGATTAATTCCTACCGTATCATCGCCGTGAAGAAATCTCCCTCGAATCTGTATCACAGCTGGGTAAGGCTGCGGTGATTCTTATGCAAGCCGGTGCTTAACCTTTCTCAGGCCACGGTGGCTCAGTGCCGTCGGGTGGGCCCACCCATACAATCAGCGATGTTCCAGGGGATCCTGGGGGCTTCGAGACCCACATTCTAGGTGCCAGTTGCCCCGACCTGTAGGGCAGGAGATGGAGACTCGAACTCCCAGGTACCTGGAATGATGGGACAAGAGACACGAAGAATGACAGCAAGACAAAGAACTCTGATCAAGCTGCAAAAGTTTATTTTTCCATGGGGATTCTTATACAGGCTGAAGCGGGAAATTAGCTGGGGAAGGGGAAGAAAAGGTGTTGTCTCAACTGGTTAATGAATGTCCCTTAGGATGAGGGAAACTGGCACCGTGAGTCTTGGTTGCAGGATAAGGAAATTGGTGGTTGCTCAGGCTTATCTTGAATCATAGGAAAGGTTGCTTATCTTAGGGGGCAGGGAAGACTGATCAGCAAGTTCTCCGGAGGCTGCTTGCCCTGGGGGGCAGGGAGGGCTGCCAGGCAGCGTGGTCTCCCACAGATACTTTTAAGTGTTGGTTCTCTCTTCCCACCATGGGAGTCCTAGAATCCTGGGGCAAGTGATCTCCCTGCCTTTCCTTTTAAAAATACTTCTTTGAGAGGATAGAGAGATGGCTCAGCAATTAAGAGTACTGGCTGCTCTTGCAGAGGACCCAGGTTTAGTTCCCAGCACCCACATAGTAGCTAACAACCATCCTTAACTCCAGTCTGAGGGGATCTGATGCCCATGGGCACTGCATGCATGTGGTATACTTACCCTCTAGAACTGCAGTGGGAGGAGGGTCTGGGTAGTGTGGCCAGTTCTTGGGGGTAAGAAAGATAGTTGGGACAAAGTGGCAGCAGCAGCAGCAGGAGGAGGAAAGAGATTTAAAGATCATTTTCACTTTCCTTCTGCTTTATTGTTTTGTTGAGACAGAGTCTTACTATGTAGCTAGCCCTGGCTGATTTGGAACTTGCTATGTAGACCAGGCTGGCCTTGAGCTTGCAGCTATCCTGTCTGCCACCTAAGTGCTGGCATTACTGGCATGAACCACTGTTTCCAGGCATATGTCCTCTGACGTTTGAGGCATACATATCCTGGCTTTGAAAGCTGCTTGTGGGGTGTGGCATGTCTGAGACAGGTCTAACTCCCTGTCATGAAACTATTCCCCAGATCTGTTCCTTGCACAGAGTGGGCTAATTCAAAGAGCCTGTGGAAAACCATCACAGTACTGTTGTGAGTGTTCAGGATGGGCACAAGGAGTTGTTCGTTTTGTGGTCTGGGTGATGTATGGGTGTGTGTGTGTGGCAGGTGTGCTTGTATTAGGTGTGGCATGTAGATTTTTTTTCATCACTGATACTCAAATGAAGTTTGATGTGTTTGAGGACTGGATGAACTCACTATGAACGTAGCCCATCCTGCTGAAGGAAAATAGGCAGTGTGGTGCCTAGGACCAATGTTCCGGGGCCTGGAGAGGGAACCTGAAGGGTGGAGCCGAGGTGGCTGCGTCTACCGGTCCTGGGGGCCCCGCCACCCGAGGCTAAGAACCATCTGGTCCTCACTGTGGACGGACAGACAGGCCTCTCGCTGGAACCCAAGGAAGCCTGCGACGCCATGCGTGTCCACGTAGGCCGAGGCTCGTGCGGCAAATCCGGGAGGGCCTCCTGGCTGCGCCTGGGTTCCGAAGGACCCGGCAGGTCCCGGGTGCGAAGAACGAAGATTGGAGGGGCGGGGCTACGGCTTGGGGACGGGTTTTACCGCTGGGTTCCACTAAGAGCTGGGTACCGAGACCGCTAGGGATGGGACTGAGGGCTCGGCCTGTAAGATAAAGGCAAAGGCAGGCACTGGCGTTAGAGGTGTGACGAAAGCCCCTGGAAGGAGCTGGAGGCCCCGGATGAAGAACACCGCTGACGCTTAGACCCGGGCCTGGAAGACACCTCAGCAGAGGACCGGGAGCGGGGGAGGCGGGCGGGGGGTTGGGCAAGCATGAGGCGGTGCTAGGGGATGGAGCGGGTGAAGCTAGACTGGAGCTTACCGCGAGGGCTCCACCAAGCTGAGGTTCCAAGTTGAACTCTGCGAGGTAGAGTTCTGTAGAAGAACGGGGCTGCCAGCGATGTGGGTCAGGACGACACTAACGATTAAAAGATGGACTGAGGAAAAGACTGGCTACAAAGCTGAACTTTGGGATGAGAGCGAGAACACCGGTAAAGGGGCAGGGCAGGAGCCTGGGGGCGAGGCTGAGGTGGCCCAAGGTCCCTGACCCTTGTGTGTCTAGACTGAGGAGTCGGGGTTAGGTCCTAAGGGTGGGGGTCCCGGAGGGTGGCCGGCGGTAGGCTTGGAATGGACGCGCGAGAGCCAGAGCTGTAATTCTTGGCTGCAGGGTTGCAAAGCTGCGCATTAGGATGAAGTCGCTGACCTAGACCACCGAACCAAAGGCTTGGCTAGAACCTAGCCATTGTTCACCCAGGGCCCCCGGACAGGGCGGTCGGTTTCATTGACTTTAGGGGCGGGAAGGAGTCTGGGGATTCCAAGTACGTGACATCATAATCACTTCTAAATTGGGGGCAAACCAGAGACATTTCCTAGGCGATCAGGCACAGCTTCTCTCTTGCACCTTGCTCTTCTTCCTCTCTGTCTGCTTTGGTGCCCATCCTCTCTCTGTGCAACAGAGACGGGGTGGGGGGTTCGCAGGACGAGGAGGATTCTCTACGAATTAGCACCTGTGAGTTTTGAGTTTGGTCTTCGCTATCTGTCTCATCAAGCAAGACACCACAAGCTTTTCTTTCAAGCCATCACCTCTCCGCATTCCTTATGAAGTCTCTGTATCTAGCCACAGAAGTCACTGCTGCCTTGGTCACTTCTGTTCTCCACAAGACAAAAAAGCAGACTGTCTTCTAAATCCTACTCCTCTTTGACCCTTTTTTTCCTCTTCCCCACCCCAAACAGCTGATGGCTCTCAGGATCTGTTAAGGGTTTGACTCTGTTTCATAGTGACAGGAGGGAGAAGGAGAATCAGAGAAGTTTGAATCCTGACCTAGCACAGGCCCCTTTGGCATGACTTTAGGATTCAAGCTGAATAGAAGAGACTGCGGAGTCAGGATTAAAACCAGAAGTGAGGAGTTAGCAGTGTTCGAAATGAAAAACGGGTGTTGTGGGGGGGTGACAATTGGAAGGACAAGTTTTGGAAAGGGAGCTGAATCTGCTTTTAAGACTTGGCTGTGGAACTTATGCCAGAGTGACCCTTGGTTTATATGTGTCTCCTTATGCAACAGTAAGTACACAGTGCTGAAAGCACAGGCTAGGAAACTAGGAAATTTTGGGTTTGACTCCTACTTTAGCCATCTCTTTAACTTTCATCTTGAACAAGTTACTTAGCCTTTCTGTGTCTGTGTCCCTCACCAGACAATTTGGGGCTGGGGAATATAGCTTACAGATAGAATGCTTGCTTAGCATGTGTCAGGCCCTGAGTTTGATCCACAGAACAAAACAGCAGCAGCAGCAAAGAAACTAAGCTGGGTGGCTATGCCTGTAATCCCAGAACCTGGGAGGCTGAGGCCATGAATTCAAGGCCAGTCTGGGCCATATAGTGAATTGTAGGCCAGCCTAGGCTACATAGACTGTCTCAACAAATGGGTAAAATAAAGAGAGGCTGGACATGTTGGTGCTTTAATCTCAGCACTAGGCAGGCAGATCTCTTTGGGTTTGAGGCAAGCCTGGTCTACATAGCAAGTTCTAGGCCAGCCAGTGCTACTTAGTGAGACCCTGTCTGATTAAAAAAACAAAACAAAACAAAACAAAACAAAACAAGGAGCTGGGCATGGTGGTGCATGCCTGTAGTCCCAGCACTTGGGAGGCAGAGGCAGGAGGATCTCTGTGAGTTCAAGGCCAGCCTGGTCTACATAATGAGTTCCAGGACAGCTGGAGCTAGAGGGAGACCCTGTCTCAAAACAAACAAAAACAAACAAAGAACCCCCCCAAACACAAACAATAAGAATAAAACAAAAAAACCCATAGTACCCAGGTTTGAACCTGGGGAAAAATCTCTAGTTCTATCTTTGGACTGAAACGGGATTTGTGTATTCCTATAGGAGACTGAATTTATACATTTAACCAACTAACATGACTAAGCACTTTCCATGGATTGGTGGATACAGAGGCAGTGGAATTATGGGTCTTTTTAAAAGGAACTATAAATACATGTCATGAGTTGTAGGTACGATGCAGCATGTTAGTGAGGCACATAAGGTATGTGACTAATTCTAATTTGTCAGCATTGGTGTTTGAGACAAGGTCTTGCTATGTGGTGAAGGCTAATCCTTCTGCCTCAGCCACCAAATGCTTGAGATTTCAGTTTTTCCACCTAGTTGAGCGGGTGTTTCATGGGAGTAAGAGGCAGGGGAGAGAATGTGGGCAAGTGAGGGGAGGTAGGAGGAAAGGTGGGCAAAACTATCAACTGAGGAAAGAACCAGTGCATGGATCCTAGGGGCTTACTATGGCATGATAAAAAGTTTACAGCCGGGCATGGTGGCGCACGCCTGTAGTCCCAGCACTTGGGAGGCAGAGGCAGGCGGATCTCTTTGAGTTCAAGGCCAGCCTGGTCTACATAGCAAGTTCCAGGACAGCTGGGGTTACAGGGAGACCTGCTTCAAAAAGACAAAAAAAAAAAAAAAAGTTTACATTTCATCCTGAAGGCAGTGGAATGCAATTAAAAAAAGAAGAATGTGTGCTGATGCACACTTTTAATCCTAGAGCTCAGGAGGCAGAAGCAGGTGGATGGCTTGAGTTCTTGAGTTCAAGGGCAGCCTGGTCTACATAGCCAGTTCCAGGGCAACCAGGGTTACATAGTGAGACCCTGTCTTGAAATGAAAAAATTTTTTTTTCATCTGGACATGATGGCATGTGGCAGGCAGGAGAAAAAGAAGAATGTGATAGACCAACTGGCATTCTAGAAATTCAACTTGGTGGAGGACTGGATGAAGATAGTGAGACAGGGAGAGTAGGCAGGAGGTTATGGTTATAACCTAGGTCCCAGATAATGGAGGTCTGAACCTACATACACGCAGGTGCAGGGGTAGGTAGACATGACAAGAAATGGAGTGGAAGTGAGAGAAAGGATGATCCCTTAAATTGTAGCTGAAATGTATGTTGCTTTCTGGAAAAGGATACAATTAGAGGAAATTTATGGGTGGCAGATGGTAGGTTTGTAAGAGACATGCTGACTTTAAGATACTTTGGGAGTCATGGGGTAGTGGCACGGCAAGTCTTTAATACCAGCCCTCAGGAGGCAGAGGCAGGTGGATCTCTGTGAGTTCAAGGCCAGCCTGATCTACATAGTGAGTTCAAGGCCAGCTGGAGACCCTGTCTCAAAAAAACCAAAAAAAAATTTGGAAATATCCAAGAGGATTTGGCTATGCATACTCAGGAAAGCAGTCTGAGGTTGGGAGTGTGCTCCATGGTAGAGCTGTTTGTTTGTCTAGTGTGTGTGGGGTTCCATCCACAGCACTGAAAAAAAAATTCAGGAAAGCAGCTTGAGTTAGACTCAGGTGAGATCCAGGTATCTTTTGGTTTGCTGTATTTTAGATTTATTTTTCTTTTATGTTTATTAATGTTTTGCTTTTATGTTATATGTATGTGCTACATGTATAAAGTGACTGCGGAGGCCAGAAGAGGGAGTTGGGACCCCTGGAACTGGAGTTACACACTACAGATGATTGTGAGCTGCCACGTGGTGCTAGCAATTGAACCTGGATCCTCTACAAGAGTAGCAAGTGCTCTTAACCATTAAACCATCTCTCCAGCAACCCCCCCTGCCCCGGTTCTATTTTTTGAGTCAGAGTTTTCCTATATAGTCCAGGTTGGCCTTGAATTCACTGTGTAGTCCAGGCTGGCCTTAAATGGTAATTTGGTGATTCTTCCTGCGTGAACCTCCCAAGTACTCGTATTACAGTCATGCAGCACCACACTTAGGCAGTTTCATGTCAAGGGAACTAGAGAAATGGCTCAGTGATTAAGAGCACTGGCTGTTCTTGCAGAGGACCCAGGTTCATGAAGTTCCCAGCACCCACATGGAGGCTCACAATCATCTGTAATTCTAGTTCCAGGGGATTTGATACCCTCTCTGGTCTCTCAAGGCATTGTATGAGACAGGTGCACTTACATACATGGAGATAAGACACTCATACACATTTAAAAAAAAAAACAACTAATAATAATAATTCTGGAGGTATCACCACACCTGACTTAAGTTATACAAGAGCCATAGTAACAAAACAAACAACAATGACAACAACAAAAACAGACAAAAAGCTTGGTACTAGCACAAACAAAAACAGACACATAAAAAGAGAATACAGGACCCAGATATAAACTCATGCAGCTATAGTAACCTGATTTTTTAACAAAAATGCCAAATAAACACATTAGAGAAAAGACAGCTTCTTCAAGAAAGTGGCACTGGAAGAACTGGATATCCACATGTACAAGAATGAAACTAGACATTTTTGAGACAGGGTCTCCCTGTAGCCCCAGTGGGCCTGGAACTCGCTATGTAGACCAGGCTGGCCTTGAACTCACAGAGATCTGCCTGCCTCTGCCTCCCAAGTGCTGGGACTAAAGGTGTGTACCACCATACTGGGCCAAACTAGATCTTTATCTCTCAGCCTGTACAAAAATCAACTCCAAATGGATCAAAGCCCCTAATGTAAGACCTAAATCTCTGAATCTGTTAAGGGAAAAATAGGGGTACACCTCAAGATATAAGCATAGGTAAGGACCTTTTCTTTTTCTTTTTTTTTTTTTTTTTTGGTCTTTTTGAGAGAGGGTCTTCCTGTAGTCACAGCTGGCCTGGATTCGCTATGGAAACCAGGCTGGCTTCAAACTCACAGAGATCCACCTGCTTCTGCCCCCCGAGTGCTGGGATTAAGTACATGTGCCACCATGCCTGGCTTTTTATTTCTTTTTCTATTTATTGTTTTTCTTTTACGTGTATGAGTGTATTGCCTACGTGCATGTAAGTACACCTGTGTTGTGCAGTGCCCAAGGAGGTGAGAAGAGAGTGTTGGATCCCCTGGAACTGGAGCTAAGGATAGTTATTGTTAGCCACCATGTGGATGCTGGGAATCAAACCTGGGTCCTCTGCAAAAGCAGCTAATGCTCTTAACTGCTGAGCCATCTCTCCAGCCCCCATAGATAAGGACTTTCTGAATGGGGCTCTAGTTCAGGAAATAAGGCCAACAAGTGACAAATGGGACCTCATGGAATTAAAAAGTTTCTATACAACAAATGAAACAGTTCCTAGGGTAAAGAGACAGCATAAGGCTGGAGAGATGGCTCAGTGGTTAAGAATACTGGTTGTTCTTGCAGAAGACCCGGGTTCTAATCCCAGCACCTACATGGCAGCTAACAACTGTCCATAACTCCAGTTCCAGGGGATCCGACAGCCTCTTCTGTCCTCCTTAGGCATCGCACGACACAAGTGCATTTACCTACATGCAGGCAATACACATACACATAAAATAAAAATAATAAAATATTTTGAAAAAGAGAAAGACAGCATACAGAGTGGGAGAAAAACCTTGCTAGCTATATAGCTGATGGGATTAAAATCTAGAATACACAACACACACAAAAAACCTGAATAAGAACTTAAGCAACCCAGTCAGTAAATAGGCTGATGAAATAGTTCTCAAAAGATGAAGTACAAATGGTCAGTAACCGTATGAAAAACTGTTCAACTTCACACTAGCTACCAGAGAAGTGTAAGTTCAAACTATAGTGAGATTCCATTTTACTCTAGTCTGAATGACAGTCATTAAGGAAATAAATACTAGCAAACACATGGACAAAAGGAACTCTTAAACTCTGATGGTGGGAATATCAACTAGTCCAGGCACTACGGAAATCAGTATGGAGGTTTCTGAAAAAAACTAAAAACAAGGGGGCTAGAGAGATGGCTCAGTGGTTTAAGAGCACTGGCTGCTCTTGCAGAGGACCTGGGTTCAGTTCTGAGCACCCATGTGCCTGCTAACAATCATCCGTGACTCAAGGTCCATGGGATCTGGCACCCTCTTCTGACCTCAATGGTCACTGTAGGACATGGGTGCACTTACACATATGCAGGCAAAATGTTCATACATGTAAAAATAAATGCCCCCAAATTAAAGAAAAAAAATCTAAAAATAGGTTTTCCATATGACCTAGCTATATCACTTTTGAGTATTTACCCAAAGGTCTCCAGGTCAGCATATCAGAGATACAGATCAATGTTTACCGCAGTACTATTCACAATAGCTAAGTTATAGAACCAACCTAGGTGTCCAACAGTAGAGGAATGGATAAGGAAAAGCGGTATATATCCACAATGGCTTTTTTTTAAAAATTTTTTTGTCATTTTCAGACAGGGTCTCCCTATAGCCTCAGCTGTCCTGGAACTCACTATGTAGACCAAGCTGGCCTTGAACTCACTGTTCTATAGTCCTCATCTTTCTAGCCTTGGCAGGTGGCCCTTGTTCTGTGCCCCCCCATCCCCCGCATCTTCTTCACACTGTCCTGAACCTCCTTTGCATACCTCTCCTTGCCCCCTCCAGGCCCCTGGAGAGCAGGGCCTTGGCTTTTAAACCTCTACATCTCCAGGTGGATCTCTGTGAGTTCAAGGCCAGCCTGGTCTACATAGTGAGTTCCAGGTCAGCTTTGTTGAGAAATGTTTGGTGAATGAATGGCATGGGGCTCTCACTGCCACTTAGTACTCTCTCAGATATAAGCAGGTTGCCCAGCTGGGAGAGATAACATCTGGCTGCTGTGGACTCTAGCACTGATGTATCATCTTTCTCCTCTGAAGGTGGGTCCAGGGAAGCTGTGACCCCAGGGTCTTCCTTATCCCTCATTTAAGAAGGCTAACACCTTGGTGGAGGGAAGGGATCCTGGTGGGATTATCCAGCTGTCCAGGAGCCAGTGAGATGGCTCAACAAGCCTGATGACCTGAATTCAGTCCCCAGAATGCACATGGTGGGGAGAACCCAGCTGCTCCATCCTTACCCTGTACTCTATAATCCTGAATAATAGATATGACCATCCCATTTTGTGGATAAGGAGAGGCTCAGAAAATTAAATTGCCCTAGGTTACTCTATTAAGTGCCAGAATCAAGAGTCAGTTCTGACTCCAAGTTTAGGGCATATGCCCTCAATTTGACAGTGCCAAAGAAACCAGAGGCAGGGGTGATATGCCAAAGTACTGTGTGGGAAAGGGAAAGAAGGACGGAAGGAAGGAAAGAGGAATGTTGGGGAAAGGCCTCTGACCACACTACTGTTTATCTTTGAAGTGCACTAGACTTCCATAACCGCTATCTGGGGTTAAAACCTGCTGGTGGCCACCTGATGCCCTGCTCCAGTTCCACAACTTATGGGAGCTGGAAAAAGGCACAATCATCATGTCCTCTTTGGGGATGGGAGTAACCAGTCATAAGCAATGAATACCCCCACTCCCCCAGGATGTGGAACTCACCACTTCCTCCTGTAGCAGTCAACACTGATGCTTGGGAGTCTATTGTAGGGCCCCCTTGTTCTCTGGCTGGTGAGACATGGGAGGCCCAGGGCTATGAGAGGCAAATGGAGTCATTTAGATTTACCTTTTCCATGGGAGTTTAGTTAGGAGTTGAGCAGTGCTCTAGGCAGGATCAGAGGTGAGGCATGGGGCAGCCCCACAGAAAACTCCTAGAGCTCAGTTAAGTAGGAGACTTTTTCCACTCCCAGCAGCTTCTCCTTGTGCCTGGGAAAATGGTGTCTATTCTGCCTAATAGGTGGAGGGGCATAGGCTGGGGCAGGTTACTCAGCATTCTAGGGTCTTAGGAACTAGGAGAGAATTTTTTTTTTTTTTTCTTTTTGAGACAGGATCTCCCTGTAGCCCCAGCTGTCCTAGAACTCACTACGTAGAGCAGGCTGGCCTTGAACTCAGAGATCGGACTGCCTCTGCCTCCCAAGTGCTGGGACTAGAGGCATGCGCCACCACATCTGGCAGAGAATGCAATTTTTTTTTTTTTTTGTCTTTTTGAAGCAGGGTCTCCCTGTAGCCCCAGCTGTCCTGGGACTCACTATGTAGACCAGGCTGGCCTTGAACTCACAGAGATCCGCCTGCCTCTGCCTCCCAAGTGCTAGAACTACAGATGTGTGCCACCATGCCCGGCTAGAGAATGCGATTTTTAAAACTTTGGCACAGGCCTTTAATCATAGCACTTGTGAGGCAGAGGCAGGCTGAGCTCTGTGAGTTCAAGACCTGCTTGATCTACAGTGAGTTCCACGAGAGCTGGGGCTACAGGGAGATCCTATCTCAGAAAGATAAAAACAAAACAAACAAACAAAAAAAACCCCCCAACCCAAAAACCTTTCTGTGAGAAAGGGGTGTCAGTGTCTACTTCCAATTTTACCTGCTAAGCTATCTCACTGGCCCAAAAGTGTGATTTTAATGAGTAAAGAGCAGGGCAAGAATGAAAAATGACAAAGGCACAGGGGGGAGAAGAGGGGCTTTGAGAAGGGAAGCAGACATGAGGGCACAAATGAGGTGCAGGTAAGGAGCATGCTGTAGAGGGATGAGTGCATCAGAGGCTGTGCATGGAGACTGCCTGGGTGTGCACAGGGCAGGTGCCAGAACTGACACTGCAGCTGTGTAGTCTGTCAGGCAAGGGGGCCTTGCCCTACATGGCACACTGGAGTGTGGTGGCTGGTGACTACAAGCAGTTGGAGAGGGCAGCAGGAGTCGGTGAAAGGTGCAGGATAATGGGCTCCATTGAAGGAAGTGACAAGGGAGACTTGGGAGGGTCTCCTGTGCACCAGATGTGGCATAACTTTTCTTTGAAACCAAGATAGCTTCATGCAATGGACAAGGGGACAGGGCAGTGGAGGGACCTGCAGTGACTACTGGACTTGTCACTTCTGATGTAAAATAGCTCAAGGTTGAGGTCCGGGTAGTGGCAGGTGAAACTGGTGAGATCTTTAGATTGAGGTGTGCTCTGTTGTCCCCAAGTGACCCAGACCCCTCCTTTCTCAGGTGAATGCAAGGAGACTGACAGGTGCTGCTGGAAACACAAGCAGTGTGCTGGGCACATCATTCATCCCTTCTTGGACTATGGCCATGGCCACCACAACCTGCACCTACATGCTGTCTGCCACTGCAACTGTGAATCTAGGTGAGGGCCCCCTTCATGGGGGACCCATTCCCCCAAGTTTCCCTCTTTGGTTTTAGCTTGGTGCTGAAGCCTAGTCCCAGCTTGCTCCAAGAACAATGAACAGGGATATCTCTTGGCAGCCTAGGGCAAGTCCCGGAACAGCTGGCTGTCTCTCTGGGCCCCTGGGGAGCCATGGAGGTATGGGAGCCAAGCTGAGAGTCTGGTGTGTGGCAGGCTGAAGGACTTCTCAGAGAGGATAAATAGTAGCAGCTCTGGAGATCTAGGCTCGACCTGCTCCACAGATGGGAGCTCAACTTGCTTCAACATCGTCCATATCCCTTGCTTTGAACTCATCCCAGAAGAACAGTGTGTGGAGCAATTTTGGTATAGCTGGTGAGTGCCAGCTGGCTGGTGGGGAAGGGACTCCAGGGTGCCCTGCTCCTGTTCCATTGATTTCTTCCTGTCCCTTCCTCCCAGGTGCAAAAGCTATAGGCCTGACTCTGTGGCAATGATCCACCATCCTATCCACCATGAGTGTGGGTCAGACCACCTAAATGAGGAGGAAGAGACCCAGTCTCCCACCCTGACTCAGGTGTGTCCCACTGCCATGCCTACCAGCCTGGACACCGGGTCAGGCACTGGGGCCCCTGACTCAGCAGCACCCATCACCATCTGGTTCTCTGAGAGCCCCACAGATAAAAGCCAGGGCAGCAAGTTGGCAAGAAAGCAAAAAAAAAAAAAAAAAGAGAAAGAGAAAGACGAGGATGAGATGACAGATGAGAAAGCAAATTTAAAGACAAAACCCAAGAGCAAGTTACCTAAGAAGAAAAGCCCAGGGAAATCAGAGTCTTCGCCTCCAGATTTGAGCCAATCACTAAGCCCAAGAGAACCAGTCAGGACATCAGAGTCCAGCCCAGAAAGCCGGGAAGAGCTGGAGAGTGAGAACAGTTACAGTGCAAAGGGCCAAGAGAGGCCCTCTAGTGAGGATGCTGTGGAGTCATCATTGCCCAGGAAGAGACAGAACACCGCCCCAGGCCAAGAAGAATGGGACAAAGACCTTACAAACTAGGAAAACGACCAAGAGAAAATCTCCCCCAGTATCTAACCCCAACCTCAGTTGAGGCCAGGGCAACCAGAGTGAATAAATCAAGCCTGTAACTGACCCCTGCTGCTATTCTCTTTCCCTCCAACAGGGCCTCCTTGGGGGAGGTAGCTGATTCTGGGCCAGGGCTTCATGGGTTCTCAAAGGGCAATCATGCCTTCAAGGAGGAATCTATGGGAAAGTAGGCAGGAGAGGGCATAGTGCTGTTTCTTTGTAACCTCCTAGGACCAGAGTGGAAGACTGTATCTGGAGAGGGTGTGGAAGAGTGCGCTTCTTGCTTCTCAGAGACCAGTGTGTGTGTGACACCTGTTCTGTGACAGGCAGCACTCACCCTCAATAAACTGCCTTTCCACCTACTCTGCCTGCCTTTCCTACCTCAAGTGGCCCTGAGGGAAGGGCTTGGGGCACCACAGAGGACATGATCTTCCCAGCTGGTATGGTTCTGCTCTTGTGTGACCCTTGGGGCTGATCTTTTGTGCTGAAGAGTAAAAAAATGGATTTCCAGCAGAAGGCCAACTTTTTCCCCTTCGCCCCATTTCTGCAAACTCAACCAAGAATGAAGAAAAGCAGAGTCAGAGCTTACCAACCCTGGGCAGCAGTGGCCCTTTCTGACTCCTCTGTTGAGCCCTAAGCAGAGGCAAGGGAAGGGAGGCCTTACTCTCCCAGCACTGAATCACGAAGCTGAGATGAAGCCCTTGTGAAGGAAAGGGAGATCCGAAGCGTAGAACAAAAAGGCCAGGGTTGGCTGGTCTTGAGTCAGGAAGGAGAGGGGTGGGAAACAGCCCCTTTCCCATGGCCTGAGTGTTTAAGGGGGATCCATCCTGGGCCAGAAACTTGCTTAGAGGCCGTCAGAGACCAAGGCCCAGTTGGGAAAAGGGAAAGGGTGTACATGGGCTCACAGATTTACTTTCTCCACTGTGCAGGAAGATAAAAATGGCACAGTGGATGGGGCAGCTGAAAGTTGCCAGCTCTGGCCAAGATTTTCATGGTGGCCTTGTATGTTACCATCTTCCTTTCACAGACAGGATAGCTGATGTAAGACATAAGAAGCTGCTGGGGGCGGGGGGAGGGTGGGGCAGGGGCAGGAGAGATGGCTCAACAGTTAAGAGCACTTACTGCTCTTGCAAAGGACCAGGGTTCAGTTCCCAGTGCACACTATGTAGAAGCTCACAGCTACTTGTAACTCCAGTTCCAAGGATCCAACATCCTCTTCTGCCCTCTGGGCACCTCCACTAATGTGCACACACCCATATATAGACACATAAGCATACACACAATTAAAAATAAAACCTTAAATGTGTCAGGAGGTAGAGGCAGGTGGATCTCTGTGTTTGAGGCCAGCCTGATCTACAAAGTGAGTTCTAGGGCAGCCAGGGCTACACAGATCTTGTCTCAAAGAATACAGAAGAGTCTACATAGTGACCTCCAGGTCAGCTGAGGCTACAGGGAGACCCTGTCTCAAAAAGACCAAAAAAGTGAGACTCCATCTGTACAAACCAACCAAAGATGGAAGAAGCTGGCATAGTGACCCCAGGTAGACTGAATATTGACCTTGACCTCTCTGATGGACTGTAAATGGGAGTCAGGAAGTCCTTGGAGCTCCAAACTCTGCTTTGAAGCAACCCCTCAGTGGGTAGCTGGAGAGAGGCCTCTGCAAGTGCTCTGTAGAAACACTGTTTATTCAAATGACAGGCAGGAAGCAGGGTTGAGGATAGGCAGGTAGGGGCTGGCAGGTCAGCACTGCTCCATTATGTTCCCCAAAGTTCTGCTTTGATAGCCACCAAGATTATTGGTATCAGGGGCAGAAATACTTTCCCTTTTCTCCCTCCTGCTTCAAACTGAATAAATAGCATCTGTCTCCTGGCAAGGGCTGGGAGATGTACAAGCTGAGCTTGATGCCCCATTGCAGCCTGCATCAGGTGAGGGCAGAAATTCAAAATGGCTTATAGGGAGAACACAGACTGTTCCACTCAAATTCTCCTCTCTGCCACACTCCCCTCCAAGCCTGGTCCCAGGACAGGTGGTCATACAGGTCTGGCGTGGGAGTACTGCTGTTTGGTGCATTCTGAGCTCCAGCTTACAAGGCCACCCAGCTTGTCATCCATCCAGGCTGACCACTAAAGAGAATGTCACTTTACGCCACTTTATGGACAGAAAAAGAGGGGCAGGGAGTGAGACAGTGGGTGACCAGGCCTCTCACAGCCTCAGAGGTAACCAGAGTCCAAGGAGCAGGCCCCCTACCGATCCATCTCATCCAACAGTGGGGTCGCATCGCCAGCAATGGACATAGGAGTACTTTCAATCATGGGGCTGGGAGAGGGTCGAGGGGTCAACCGCTGCTTCTGTTTCCGTCGTTCTGCTTCCTTTTCCTGCAGCCACTGCTCTGCCATCTTCCCCCAGTCAATGGCTGCATGGCTGTTTGACCTGGGAGCAGAAAGGAAGGGCCTTAGAGACCAGCATTCTTCTGGGACTCATGAGAAGCTTTTCTTCCAGTCACTGAATGAGAGCCCACACTCACAGAAAAGGACCTGACACAGGTAGCAGTCCTCTGTGACAGCCCTGCTCTTTCAGTCTTCCCTGGAGACCAGTGCCTCCTGGGGAAAGCTCAGGCCTTGGATCTCAAGAAGATACAGACCGGGGCTGGAGAGATGGCTCAGCGATTAAGAGCACTGACTGCTTGCTCTTGTAGAGGACCTGGTTCGATTCCCAGCACCCACATGGCAGCTATGAACCGTCCTTAACTCCAGTTCCAAGGGAATCCAAAGCCCTCTTCTGACCTCTGTGGCATTGCACGACACGAGTGCACTCATACATGCAGGCAATACACATAAAATAAAAAAATAAAAAATAAAATATTAAGCCAGGCATGGTGGTGCACACCTTTAATCCCAGCACTGAGGAGGCAGAGGCAGGCAGATCTCTTTGAGTTCAAGGCCAGCCTGGTCTACATAGTGAGTTCCAGGACAGCTGGGGCTACAGGGAGACCCTGTCTCAAAAAGACCAAAAAAAAAAAAAAGACGATACAGACCACATGCTTATGCTCAGTCTCTGGGTCACATGACACCATCTGTCCTTATTAGTAACATGCCTGTGCTGTGATGCTATTCGTATACTTACTTTGGCTGCTGTTGCCGTTGTCGGGAGCTGGAGGAAGGCTGGGGCTGGGCCTGGGCAGACTGTGGGGTGGTGCTGGCCTGGAGCTGGTGGTACTGTGGGGTGGTAATGGGCTGGCTCGGGGTTGTGTAGGAATAGCTGGGGGTCATTAGTGGTGTGGCCACTGGCTGCTGGGCTGGAGTTGGGAACACCTGAAGAGGAGTGGATAGAGGAATAGGGGTGGGTTCTGGGCTTGCTCGACTTTGCTGTGAATCTCTAACAAGTTGACTTTGCTGTGACTCTCTTAAGTTGCAAGAGTTGGCTCTGAACAGAGCTTTCCTGCTGACCCACTCAGGAGCAGCATGTGGTTGGGCAGCAGAGGGAAGCCAGGAGGATGGTAACAGCACACAAAGTAGCCCACTAATCCTGAACATCTCAGGCTTAGTGGCTTAAAGGTTCCAAATATCCCACAAGGCTCTGTGCAAAGGTCAGGCCCTTCCCTGTCAATGGGCTGGAGAAAAGGAACACCTGCTGGAGATACTTCTAAGGTGAGGGTATCCGGCTTGTACATATGAAACCCCCCAGGGTGGGCATGGCCAGAGATCTATATGACCAAGGTCTGTGGGTAAAAGATGACCATTCCGTCCTCTCCCCCCTCTCTTCTCTTCCCCTCCCCTCCAGTCCTGTCCCCTCCCCTCCCCAAGCTACATACATGGTAGGCGCTACTGCCTCCTCCACTGCCACCATAGCCATACTGGCTGGACGCCCACTGGGCTGGGGTAGCGTTGGGGTTCTGTCCCTGGCCTGTCACAGCAGCAATGGCACTGAACATCTGTGATGTCATGTTCTGAGGCAAGGCATTCACAGCCCGTGTCAGATCTGTAAACACAGAGGCCAGGTTGGCATGTCAGAGATGAAAATCCCTCTAGTTTCCTGCTGTTCCACAGTCCCAGGCCTGAGCATCCCACCTGCAAGGTTGATGTTGGCTGGGGTAGCATTGATAGAAGCAGGGGTCCGTGTCCTGCTGCTGCTACTGGGAGTGATGCCTGCAAGAAATGGCTGCTGTCAGTTATGTTCCCCAAGAAACCTACTTCTGGGTGCACACCTTTTATCCTAGCACTTGGGACGGAGGCAGAGGCAGGTGGATCTCTTTGAGTTCCAGACCAGCTGGAGCTTAAAGGCGACCCTGCCCGCCACCCTGACCAAAAAAACAAAACAAAACAAAAAAAACAAAAGAAACCTACTTCTGGCTTCCCAGTTCAAGAGGAAATGAAGTGAATGGAGAAGTTCCCTGTTGCTAAGAGATTGGACAGGGGTGAGGCTACTGCAATATGCGGGACAGGGGTGAGGCTACTGCAATATGCAATGACAGTTTACCTTCTCTCTCTCCTAGAAAGGCAGTGATCAAGCCAGGACCTGTGTCTCTCACCATAGCCTAAACTCAGGGTACAGTAGAACTCACCTGGCACAGGGTCCTGGTAGTGATCCTTAAACCATCTGAAGAGTCCATTCACAGTTGGAAAGATCTGGCCCCGGTACCGGAATCCTTCAGGAGTCACTGTTACATATTCTATCCTGGGGTTTCAGAAGGAGATATGCATTAGATACCACTTTGGACCACTTGCGAGAAAGTGACCAAACAGATGTCCACCATGTACATTAGCCATAATGAGTGCTGGGGAAAGAGATGACAGTACCTGTCCTTAACCCTGTGAAGGGAGGCCACAGTAAAGGCCAAGGAGCCAGCAGCCTTTGAATGGTACGTATAGGCTGCCAGAGGAAGGCTTACTGAAAGCTGCACCACACATGGGCTGAAGGAATGCTGCAGGTAAGAGTGAGACCAAGATCACAGGGCATGAGGTGGAAAGGGGCCTCCCAGGGCAGCTCCAGATAAACAGGGGGCTTTGTTCAGCATTCTGGAAGGTGGTAAGTCTGCTTTCATTCAATCCTTCTGAGAGCAGCAGAGTGGTTAAGAGGATGGACCTTTGCTTTATACCTGGTACTAGTTTTAGCTTGAGCTCTGCCACTTACTACCTATGTGACTACACCAAATTAATACACTCAAGTTTTTTCTTCATTTGCAAAATGAGTGTACAGCATTTAAACCTGAAGGGTGGGCACAAGGTGGAGTGAGTATACACAAGGCACTCACCATACCTAACACAATGCTGTGCTCTATCAAAGAGAGCCAACAACAGCTAAGAGACAATGTTAAGCATGGCAAAGTCCTCACTTATACTGAGCTGAAACCTACTTCTTGAATCTCCATGTAAGGAGAGAATGCTGGGAATCCGTGCTCCCTTCCACAAGAAGCCTGCTGTTACAGATTCCTAGCTTGCTCAGCTGGTTTTCATGTCACATTCCCAGTCCCATATGGTCCTGGCTGCCATCCTGTAGAAGGACACTGACAAGTCAGGAAAAGCTGCTCAGAAGCATGATGCTTCTGCTGTCAAATGTGGCTTAGGGCCGAGTTGGAGGCCCCTGAACGC